GACCAAAGACTGACCATGGGCTGGGATACAGAGGCCAGAACGGACAACCCGCGGTCACTGTCCCCCATCCCCAGCCACTGTCACCCTGGTCACTAATCAGTCATCCGTCAGTGTTACCCCCCACACCCCCGAAACCCCCACCACCACCGGACCCTGGTCAGTCACTGATCACAGTCCCTCTGGCCCAGTCTCTGGTCACTGTCGACCCTAGCCCCTATTCAGACATTGGTCAGTGTCCTCCACCCAACCAGTCCCTGGTCTGTCACTGGTTACAATCCCCCAAGCCTCCAACCCAGCTGACCCGCTCTTTGGTCACTGTTCCTACCTGTCCACCCCAATTAGTATCCGCCTGGCTCCTAGTCCAGTCTCTGGTAAATGTGATTCACAACAGCCCCTTGTCCGTTCTGGCCTCTGTATCCCAGCCCATGGTCAGTCTTTGGTCACTATCTATCTGAGCTGTGGTCCAGTCTCTGGTTGTTGTCCTTTCCAGCCACTAGTGAAGTTCAGATTGTGATTTTTCTGCTCTTTGTCTAACACTGACCAGCCCCTGGTCCAGTCTATTCATCAACGCCAGCATCAGACTGTCAACCACTGGAACATGGCCAGTGATCAGGGAGCGGCTAAAGGGCAAACTGGCATTGGATTCTGGAATTGTGCCAGAGCTTCATACAGCAAAGAGACCCAGGACCTGTTAAAAGGTGAGATGGCTCATGGTTTAGGGTGGCATGGTACTTCACAGCACCAGGGACCTGGGTTTGTTTCCACCCTCAAGCAACTGTCTGTGTGGAGGTTGCATATTCTCCCTGCGTCTACGTGAGTTTCCTCTGAGTCTCTGGTTTCCTCCCACAGTCAAAGGATGTGCAGGTTAAGTGGATTGGCCGTGCTAAATTGCCCATAATGGGTAGCAACATGAAGGCTAGGTGGGTTAGCCATGGGAAATGCAAGGTTACAGGGGTAGAGGCGTGGGTCTGTGTGGGACACACTTTAGAGGTTTGGTGTAGATTCGATGGGTCAAATGGCCTGCTTCCATGCTGTAGGGATTGTATGATTCTTTAGATAAACAACAAAACTGTACAGAGAGCACAGCATGGAAGTAGAGAGCAGGAAATGTGAGGCTAGGGTTAGGCCAACATTTATTGCCCATCCCTAATTGCCTTGGAAAAGGTTGTGGTGAGCTGCCTTATTGAACTGCTGTAGTCTTTAGGATTAAGGCATACTGTTAATGCTGTGAGGGAGTTCCAGGATTTTGACCCAGGAGAATTGAAGGAACAACAATATATTCCCAAGCCTGAACAATAAATGACTTGGAGGGGAACTTGCAGGGGGTGGTATTCTCGTGTGCTTTGTCTAATGCCTTTGGTTAACAAAAATCCATTAGTCTCTGTTTTTAATTTTTCAATTGACTCCCGTCCCCACAGCTTTCTAAGGCAAAGAGCTCCAAATTTCTACTTCCCCCTTTTGTATAACGAAGCCTCACAGTCTAATTATAAAATACTACCTAATCATTCTGGATTCCCCAGACCAGAGGAGTTGTAGTAGATAAACGGAGACCCCTGATCAAAGACAGGCTGAGCAAGTGAGCAATTGGAATATAATATGGATCAGTGTGAGGTTATCCACTTAGGTAGGAGGAACAGAGGTGTAGAGTTTTTATTGAAATGGTGAAAGATTGGAAGGTAGAAAAACAGAAGCTGCTGGAAAAGCTCAGCAGGTCTGACGGCATCTGTGAAGAAAAATCAGAGTTAACATTTTGGATCCTGTGACCCTTCCTCAGACTCTTCCTCAGAACAGGAAGGGTCACCTGGCCCAAAACATTAACTCTGATTTTTCTTCACAGATGCTGCCAGACCTGCTGAGCTTTTCCAGCAACTTCTGTTTTTGTTGCTGATTTACAGCATCTGCAGTTCTTTTGTTTTTTATTAGAGATTGGAAAGTGTTGACGGCCAAAGGGTCCTGAATATCCTTGTTCCTAAGTCACTGAAAATAATATGGAGCAGGCAAGTAGAAAGGCAAAAGATATGTTGGCTTTTATTGCAAGAGGATTTGAGTACCAGGAGTATTGGTGTGTTGTTCCAATCGTACAGAACTTTGGTTAGACTGCACCTGGGATGTTGTGTACAGTTCTTACTTGCAGGATGCACTTACCACAGAGGAAGCACCATGAAAGTTTACCAGATAGATCCCTGGATTGGCAGGATTGTTTTATGAGGAGAGATTGATGAGGCTGGGACAGTATTCTTATAGAGGTTAGAAGAATGGGAGGAGATCTCATTGAAACTTGCAAGATCCTTAAAGGGGAGACAGGTTGGGTGCAGAAAAGTTTTTTGCTCTGGCTGGAAGCGGTTAGAGAACCAAGAGGCAGGATCAGGATAAGGGGCAAGACTTTTCAGACTGAGATGGGGAGGATTTTTTTCACTCTGAGCGTAGTGAATCTTTGGAATTTTCTTCCCAAAGTCAGTAGTGGCTCAGTCATTGAAAGGTTCAAGAAGTTGATATATTTCCGGATGATAGCAGGGAAACTTAGAGTGGAAGAGTTGACCTGAGTGGTTGAATGGTCTCCTCTTGCTCCTATGTTCCTCAGAACAAATTTGCAAATAGATTACAAAGAAGTACAAGCATTAGAGAGTAGTTATAAAGTTGGACTTCAATTATCCAAAAGTAAACTGGGTTAGTAATAGTTCGAAGTGCAAAGAAGGATAGAATTTCAAGAGTAGTTCAGAAGAGCTTTTAACATCAGCATGCTTCCAGTCTAGTGAGGAAGGAGACATTGCATGACCTGATTCTTGGGAAGTCTCAGCCTGTGACCTCACCCATTGCTGTTCCAGTAGCTGCTCTTACTAACTATACACCCCTGTCTTGTTACAGTGATGATGCAGGAATCCAAATTGAATCAATTCCAAATGAGACAACTTAACAGAAAGCTTCAGGGTGAGTATAATCACACATGAGCATCTCACTCAGCACTATCCATAAAATTTCGTGTGGTCCTGGCACTGTTGATGGGGGCATATGTTCAGTTTAAAAGAGTAGAGAGCTTTACTCTGTATCTAACCCCATATTGTTCTTGTCCTGGGGATATTTGGTGGGGATCATGTAGGAAGAGCTTTACATTCAGTTTAAATGAGTGGAGAGAGCTTTATTTTCAGTTTGTAAGAGTATAAGAAGCATCACTCTTTAACTAACCCCATGCTGTCCCTGTTCTGGGAATGTTTGATGGGGCCAGTGTAGGTGGAGCTTTACTTTCAGTTTAACAGAGTAGAGGGAACTTTAAATCTAACCTTGTATCATGTTGTGGGATTTTTGTCGGAGGCAGGGAAGAGTGGGCTTTATACTATATCTAACCCCTGCTGTCCCTGTCCTGAGAGTGTTTAATGGGGACAGCGTAGAGAGAACTTTCTTCAGTTTAAAAGAGCAGAGGAAGTTTTACTTTCTGTTTAAAATAGTGCAGTTGGTTTGCTCTCCACTTCATGCTGTGCCTGTGATGGCAGTACCTGACGGGTAAGTGTTGTGGGAGATTTACTTTCAGTTTAAAAGAGTAGCGGCACCTTTAGGGAAGAGGGAGCTTTACTTTTAGTTTAAAGCAGTAGAGAACAGTTTATTCTCTATCTAACCCCATGCTGTACTGTCCTAGGAGTGTTCAATGGGGACAGTGTAGATTTTCTGAAGAAGGGTCTAGGCCGGAAACGTCAGCTTTCCTGCTCCTCTGACGCTGCTTGGCCTGCTGTGTTCATCCAGCTCTACACCTTGTTATCTCTGGGACAGTGTAGAGGCAGCTTTACTCTGTATTTAGCTATTTGCTGTATCTGTCATGGGAGTAAATGATGGGGACAGTATCAAGGGGGCTTTACTTTCAGTTTGAAAGAGTAAGGCCAGCTTTACTCTGTATCAAATTCCACACAGCCCCAGTACTGGGAATGTTTGATGGGGACAATGTCAAAAGAGCTTTAATTTCCGTTTGAAAGAGTAGAGGAAGCTTTCTTCTGTATCTAACCCCATCCTGTCCCTGTCTTAGGAGTGTTTGATTGGGACAATGTTGAGGAAGCTTTGCTCTGTATCTAATCCCAAGCTGTCACTGTCCTGATAGTGTTTGATGGGGACAGTGTAGACGGATCTTTACTCTATATCTAACAGTGTGCTGTACCTGTTCTGGGAGTGTTGATGGGGACAGGCTAGATGTTTTCTGAAGAAGGGTCTAGGCCCGAAACGTCAGCCTTCCTGCTCCTCTGATGCTGCTTGGCCTGCTGTGTTCATCCAGATCTACACCTTGTTATCTCAGATTCTCCAGCATCTGCAGTTCCTACTATCTCTGGAATTTTAATTTCAGTTTTGAAAAAGTAGAGGCAACTTTACTCTGAATGTAATCCTATGTGCCCATATCCTGGGAGAGTTTTATGGTGACAGTGAACAGGGAGCTGTACTCTCAGTTTAAAAGAGGAGAGAGAGCATTACTCTCTATCTAACTCCGTGTTGTACCTAATCTGGGAGAGTGTGATGGTGAGCGTGCAGAAAGAGCTTTACTTGCAGTTTGAAAGAGTGGAAGTTGCTTTAGTTTCAGTTTAAAGTGTAGGGGCAGCTTTACTCTGTATCTAACCCTATGTTGTCTCAGTACATAGAAACATAGAAGATAGGAGCAGGAGGAGGCTATTTGGCCCTTCAAGCCTGCTCTGCTATTCTTCATGATTATGGCTGATCATCCAACTCAATAGCCTAATCCTGTTTTCTCCCCATAACCTTTGATCACATTCGCTCCAAGTGCTATATCTAGCCGCCTCTTGAATACATTCAATGTTTTGGCATCAACTACTTCCTGTGGTAATGAATTCCACAGGCTCACCACTCTTTGGGTGAAGAAATGTCTCCTCATCTCCGTCCTAAATGGTCTACCCCAAATCCTCAGACTGTGATCCCTGGTTCTGGTATTAGGAGTGTTTAATGGGAATAATGTTGAGGGAGCTCTAAGTTCCCTTAAAAGCAGTAGAGGGTGCTTTACTCCATACCTAGCCCGGTGCCCTCTGTCCTGGGAGTGTTTGAGGAAGCAGTGTCGACTTAAGAGAATAGAAGAAGCTTTACTCTGTATTTAACCCCATGCTCTACCTGTTCTGGAAGTGAACAGTGTCAAGTGAGCTTTACTTTCAGTTTAAAAGAATAGAGCTAGCTTTACTCTGTACCTAACTCCATGCTGTCCCTGTCCTGTGAGTGATTGTTGGGGACAATATTGTGAGAGCTTTGCTCTGTATCTAATACAGTATTGTCACTGTCCTGGGAGTGTTTGATGTGGGCAGTGTTAGGGAAACTTTACCTTCAGTTTACTTTCAGATAAAGAGAGTAGAGGCAGTTTTACTCGATATCTTTCCTGGGAATGTTTGATAGGGATGATGTAGTGGAAGCTTTACTTTCAGTTTGAAAGAGTAGAGAGAACTTTACTATCACAATTCAGTTCAGGCGTGCAATACTTAATTGTCTATTTTATACCAGAAGTACTATTACACACAACTGATCAACCTCCAACTCCTTCCCCCCCCACAACCCTCCAACCCCACCAAAATCACCATGACTTTCTTTTGTTTTTTACTTTTTTCAACTAGTAACCACCAACAGTAAACACCCATGCAGGTTACCAGTAATTGTAATAAAAGGCTCAGGCCCAAGCTTGATGGGGCAAAATTGGTTGTGAGTGCTTCAGCTAGATTGGCTCAACATTTTTCAATTAGAAAATGGCTGCCTGAGTGACGTCCTAACTAAATATCCTGAAATCTTCTAGGAAGGTCTAGGGAGTATCACAGGAGCTAAGGCCACTTTGCATGTTGACCAGAAAGCGTTTCCATGATTCTGCAAGGCCCACTCAGTGCTATTTGCCTTATGGGCAAAAGTAGAAGGAGAAATCAGAAGGCTGGAAAGTGAAGAAATCATCAAACCAGTCCAATAGGCAGGCACTAGTCATAATAATTTTGAAGCCTGATGGGCCAATTCACCTTTGTGGGGATTTTAAACAAACAATGGACCACTTTTTATAGTTGGATAAATAGCCAATCCCTCAGGTACAGGATTTGTTTCAGAGCTGGCAGGAGCTCTGTCTTTCATGCTGGACATGAGCCACGCTTACTTGCAATTGCGTTTAGACCAGGATTCTCAGAAGTATGCTGCAACAAAACCCACAATGGTTTCAGACTGCCATTTGGGCTGTTGTCATTTGTTCAAGTTTACAACAGACAATGAAGAACATGGTTCTGAGGAAGGGTCACTGGACCCAAAACATTAATTCTGATTTCGCTCTGCAGCTGCCACACCTGCTGAACTTTTCCAGCAATTTTGCTTTTGTTTCTGATTTCTAGCTTCCATAGTTCTTTCAGTTTTTAATATTTTGCAAAGTCTGTCTCAGGTTACCATTTACCTCAATGGCATCCTCATAACAGGTAAACTAATAAGGAGCACTTAGAGAACTTGAATATAGTCCTAAAGTATTTTTCCGGGGCAGGCATATGCCTGAGAAGGGGAAAATATGTGTTCTAGATCCCCAAATGACCTACGTGGGCTACTGAGTCAACAAGACCAGGTTATACCAGTTGAAAGATAAAGTGAGCGCGATCAAAGATGCCCTGTCCCCAAGTCTGTCCAGGAGTTTAGGTCATTTCTGGGCCTGGTAAATTATTACGGAAGGTTCATACACACCCTTGCATCAACTGCTGAAAATGTATCAGCCTTGGAAATTATCTCATAGATAGGCCCTAGCTTTCAATGGAATAAAGAAACAGCTATCTTCTTCCAAGGTGTTGGCACACTATGATCCCAAGAAAGCTCTAGTATTGACGTGCGATGCCTCCCCATATGGCACTGGGATGGTATTAGCTCATAGGTGGCCCACTGGAGAGAAATAGTAATAGTTCATGCATCCAGGACTTTAGCTAATGCAGAGTGTAAATGCGCCCAAAAAGGAAAAGAAGGATTAGCGATCACATTTGGGGTCAGAAAGTTCCTTTATGGGTGAAAATTTGAGATAATCATGAGACCACAAACTACTACTTGGTCTGCATAAAGAAGATAAGGCAGTGCTGCCCATAGCTTTGGGCCACATTCAGCACTAGGCTAATTTGTAATTAAGTGCTTATAATTACAAATTAGTACACCATCCAGGAGACCGAGTAGCAAATGCGGATGCATTGAGCTGCCTTCAGTAAGCAAATATACCACCCATGGTACCCCAAGTGGAAGACTCAGCCATGACATTGAATTTTCTGAACATGCTACCAGACTCAGCTAACAATGTCAGTCTTTGGACACAATAATATCCAGTCCTTTCCAAACTGAAACAATTAGTCTTAATAGGGTCATTGTGGTTAGAAGTAAAACCATTTTGGACCCAGAGACACCAGCTCACAGTAGACGATGACATATTGTTACGGGGAGAAAATGTGATTGTCCCGAGCAATGGTCACCCTCAAATTCTGGCTGAACTCCACCAGGACCATCCAGGGGTCTCCAAAATGAAGATGTTGGCAAGGAGTTATATCTGGTGGCCAGGCTTGGACACAGACAATAGCTGCGTTGGTAGCACAGTGCCCAGAGTGTCAACGAGGACAAAAATTACTGACAGCAGCTCCCCCACATCTGTGGGAGTGGTTGGGTAAACCCTGGACTCAGTTGCATGTCAACAATGGAGGTCCTTTCATGGGTTCATTGTTTTTGATCATTGTAGATGCCCACTCAAAGTGTTGGACATGCATGAAGCCAATTTGTCAAACACTGGAGCGATGATAGAAAACTTGCACACATCTCTTGCAACACACAGAGTCCTGGAGATATTGGTAATGGATAATGGGCCATCATTTACCAGCAGCGGCTTTAGTTACTTTGTAAAATCGAATGAGATTCAACATATTAAGACAGTTCCATACCACCCATCATCTAATGGCCTTGGCAGATAGAGTGGT